ACAACACAATTAACCAATGCAGAAAAAAAAACTGCGTATTATTAGATGAGAATAATTATTATTATATCCGTACCTGAACTTGACACCTGAGAGCGATATCCAATATTAATTCGACATTGGCATAATTATTATTATTAGCACCGCCGGGTACGGGAACGTAGTGATCGGCCATTTTTATATATTCCGCATTCGCTGTAACGCATCGAGATAATATTAATTGCAAAAAATATTATTTTCATCAGAAAAAAAAACGAACCTGATTGAAATACCTTTTAAATCTTCGGGCGTAACCATTACGACAAATCTGATCGACCTTTCAAATTTAAACATTTCATACGACCATCTTCTTATCGATCTCATGCATTTAACGGCAGCTATACCATTGTTGGCGATGAGAACCTGATTGGGGGGGGTGAAAAAAAAAATACAAAAATTTTTATTACGTCATAAGAATGAGTGTTTAAATGACGCCACGAAACGATTAAATGTTGACCCAACGCTTTCACTTTAAATGCAAAAATTCTTGTCGGAATGAGTTGGAAAAAAAAAAAATTAAATGACTTTCGGTTGCTTTAAAACGAATTCTCCCCTCCCTTCCCTTCCCTTCCCTTCCTTTTCCTTTCGTTTCCTTCCCTTGCCTTCCCTTCTCTTCCCTTGCCTTTCGTTTTGTTTCGTTTCCTTCCCTTTCCTTTCGTTTCCTTCCCTTCCCTTCCTTTCCCTTTCGTTTCCTTGCCTTGCCTTCCCTTTCGTATCCTTGCCTTTCCTTTCCTTTCCTTTCCTTTTGTTTCCTTCCCTTCCCTTCCCCTCCCTTTCGTTTCCTTTTGAACCTCTTATCGAGGCAATCGAATTACCTTATTTATGACTCTCGTTCCTTTGAACCTTTTGACGAATTCTTCGGGACTCGCAACGGTAAAATCCTTTTCCAGGGATCGATTGTTTATCATTCCCTGTGACATGGAAGGCCTGTAAAAACAATTCCGTTTCACGTGTGATTATGTAGGCATTTATAAAGGAAAAGAGGTTTTTAATTTGAACCTCTTAGGTGTAAGAAAGATAAGTTCGACTCGGATGATGTTAGAGACCATCATCGTTTAACAGTCGTTTGCGTCCCTTTTTTTACATAAAACTCGTGGATATGTTAAATTCATAATGCTCCTACGTCACACGTATCCCAAAAAATCCCTTCAT